TGTCGAAGTTTTTTACGTAAAATTAAATAATTTTCTTTCATACCAATATTTTCCCATTCACGAGCACTATGATGTGTTTGTAAATCACATTTTAATTGACTTGCATGACCTTTTTTTAAAAGTATTTGTGATATATCATGTAAATGAAGTTTTATAGCAAGTAAATATGGTGTTAAACCATTTTTATCTAATAAATCAACAGATATACTATAACGATTCATTGTTGTTATAAGTGTATCAAGTATTATAATATTATTTAATTCAACTGCTTGATGTAATATTGTACGTCCATGTATATCTAATGAACGCCAATCAATTTCACTACTTATTTCATTAAAAAGAAGTTCAAATGAATCAAGTTGTTGTCGTGCCATAGCTTCATGTAATACAGTATAACCATTAATATTATCTTTATGTAATGGATTAATTCCATGATCTAAACAAAATCTAAGCATACGACAACGTTTATATGAATTATTTATATCTAATGCATAAAATAAACCATTACGACCATCTTTTGATGTAACATTTAAATTATAATTATGACGAATATATAATAAAAGTCGTTTATATTGAGAATTTTGAATAGCATGAAATATTTCAGATTCTAATATAGATGTTTTATGTTCGTTTTCAGTCATCATTTAGTTTTTTTTTCTTTATTGTTAAAATTTATGAAACGTTGTTATTCTTATTGTTTAAACAATTGATTGAAGTCACTAATTACATTTACGAAAAACAAAAAAAAATGGTTAGAAACATAAGAACAGAGAAGAAAATGTTTGAATGGTTGTATTTTTTTTTCTTGAAAGAAAAAAAACAAGTAATAGTAGATTGACATTAAAATTAAAGGTACGTAATATATCGTTACAAATGTACTAATCATTGTTACCCATTAAGTTCATACTTAGTTAATCAAGAAAGGTGAAAAGAGGCATGTTTCTTTGAACAAAATACTTTTGAATTCATCGGGCTTTATATATTTGTTTGAAATATTTTTCATTATTATCGATATTTATACAAATAAAAAGTTGTTGAATGATGTCATACAAGACTCATTGTTTTGTATGACAAAAGAACGTTTTTTTTTTTGTGAAAAAAAAACAGAACTAAAATAACATCATTATAAAAAGCTTAAAGTCATTCTTTCTCTATCTCAACTGATGATAAAAACGATGCTCTATTTTTCTGTACTATTACATAGCAATATCATAATAATAAAAACTTATCTTTGATATGTCCTAAGTATAAGTATGTCATAAATTAACAATATTATTTACTCATTTTAGTTTGAATGATTTTCTAAAGAACATAACAAATGAAATTTGAGAACTTTGAATTACATAAAATGTTATTCATGAGTATACCTTCGCTCATTATACAATATCTACTCATCAGACTAAATAATTCAACTTGACGGCAATCATCTGTTCGTTTTTGTCTTGAAGAAATTTGTTTGAAACTGCAATATGATACTTACAATTTCAAACTACGAATGTGTAGTGAAAAAGTTCAATCGATAATTTTTTTCTTTTTATCAATGTTTAGAAAGATTGAAAGATGTGAAACGTGATGATTCAAATAAAACTTCATCCCGTCCAACAACTACCGAGTGGTAAATTACAATCTAGGATATATCATCAATGGAAAGACAATATAACATCATGGTTAGAATTGACTATCGAAACTAGAAAATAGTATAATAAATATTACTATTAGTACTCTCATTGAACCTTTCTAAACGAATTTTAGTTAAAGAATCATGCAATAACACGTTAAAATGTTGTACTTATTATTATTAGTTTAACTCAACAGTTGTGTATATTGTTCAGATTCATCGTATAATAACAGATAGGAAGTTATTTTCTTCAAATTAACTTTTGAAGGTTTTTCTTCGACGACAAAAAACCTATATTAAATGTTTCAATTGATGCGCATAAACATTTTGTTTAGACCATGTCATGAGCAGTTTTCGAGGGTGTGGGTGTGGGTGTGAATGTGAGTGTGAGTGTGAATTGAAAGAAAGATCCTACCCACACCCCACACACCCACACCCACACCCTGTCAAATTTAGTTAAAATTTCATGTGCTTGGGGTGTGCATGTCGGTGTTGTTTTAAACCAGAGGAACTTTCACACCCACACCCTCATCCACGTATCCACCCATATCCTCACACTGCCACACACCCTCGAAGAAATCTGTTGAGAGCAATCTTCTATGGTCAAGGGATGATCTCTGAAATGGGAACGAGCGAGCAATACTTCTAAGACTGACTCAACCGAATTCAAAGTTTTTGTTGTTCTTTCTCATTGAAACGAATTTAAAATAAAGAATAGAAAAATGAATCACATCTGTATTGATAAAGGAGCAGCTGAAGTTGCTTCTAACGAAAGGTAGATGTTATCACAGAATGCTATTGATGATGTGGATCTTTTTTGTTGATGGCTCTCAATTTTCTTTCGAAAATCGATTTTCAACATGCCATAAGTGGCCTGCGAGTTGAACGGAATCGAGATCAATCTGAAACTTCGTTCATGGTCGATGTCTAGAAAGAAGCAAATGATTAGTCGAACGTTTTCAAATAAGATGGACTCACGGTAAGTGTATTTCTTCAAAGTTCGATTTAGTTGGTCGAGTTCGAACAAATGAACGTCAATAGTCGTTTGATTTTCGACATCACAACAAAATATCGTCAGAACTCACGATAGACAACCATTATCACCGTTATTACAACGTCTGTGCACAGTGAAATTCTGCAGCAGCGATATAGGATTTTCAATGTCATCAATGACAAACGAACATTTTTCCGTGTTCCATATTAAGTTTCCGTAAACTGGTAAATCTTCCGGAGGTATTGTGTTTTTCTAAAGAAAAAAATCATTGAGATTATTTGTTTCAATAAGACGGAAAACTACGAAAAACTCAATCAGTCGACCGGCTCTAGACTCAACCAATGATGAATCGATTTTCATGATGCCAACGCTGCTGTTCGGAATGCTGTGCCAACCACCGGAGACAATCGGTTGAATATGATCAGTCGAGCAGTTCACCTCTTGTTCAGCATCGCCGTTATGCACAAAATTTTTGTTGCGCCCTGAAGTGTTATTCGGTAGTTTGGCGCTGAATATCGAAAATGCTTCGTGTAACTATTTGTCAAGAATATTTGATCCTCTCAAATCACTGGATGAATAGTCGGTATTTGTTACCAGTGTCAACGTGAAGTTTGTATCTCTTAAATCAGCTCCACTTAGCGAAACATCATGCATTTGAGATTAGTAAAAGTTGGCTCCGCGCAAGTTACTCAAAGTGAAGTCTGAACCAGCCAAGTTACGTCCAGCAAATGAGACATTGATCAACGACACGGCAACCAGTGAAATTCCTCTCATATCGATCGCTTGTACGTCGCCAGTTACTGGAACGCTCAGTTCGATGTTGTTCATTTCGAGACCTCTCAAAACAATCGGATCTTTATCAACTCTAATCAATTCTAGATCATAGAGAAACTGAATCGAATATTCTTTGCCTTTGCTGTCGAGTTGACAGCAGGCAGCCAACGTTTTCGCACGAACTACCGAGAGTAATATTATGTAATCATCTGGGTCCATATGACTTTGTTTTTGAATAATGTTCGATATGTAATCGATATAATTAGCCAAAACAGTATCCCATCGAATTCGATTTGCAATCAGTAGTTCTTGTTCACGGATGTTGCGAGCAAGAACCGTATTCTTCAGACGATTTTCATCAGCAATCTTCAATTCTTGTACACGCTGCTGATTAGCTGTGTATAGTTGGACACCACTCATCGTTGCTGTCAGTATACCAATCATACCTGGAATAAGAATCGATGCACAGATTTCTCGAATGTTTTCATGCCTCTTCGTAGGCATTGAACAAGTCGTCAAATAAATGAAGCTCTATAGAGCTCTATATGCAAATTTGATCTATTAATCATGAGCTGATTTTCATGATGGTCTGAAGCACGTTCATCCAACATTGACTCTTGTTACTTTCGCTTGATTAAGTATCAATTTTGCAATTCTCAACCGATGTCAGGTTTGACTCAGGGCAACAAATATGACACTTTTCTTTGGTTGGCAAAACCAATATTTCATGATAGAATGAGCAAAAGAGTTTTCATTGAGGGTGAAAATGAGTAATTTCATCGACAGTCCGATGTGACGCGTTTCGGCGTGTTTGAGGATCCTCATTAGGTAGCTTGAGAGTGAGATAGAATTCCCATATGAGTTCTGAGCTTATTACGACGGCCATTTGGGTCAGAGCTTAGTCTGATGGTAACTGAACAATTCGTCGCATCGACCATTGGTCACATAGATCATCACTCGCAGCAAAACCAGTCACAATAATGGGTGTGAGTGTGTGCGTCTGAGTGTGAATGTGTGCGTGTGGGTGTGGGTGTGGATGTGGGCGTGTGGGTGTGGGCCTTCATTTCACTAATACCAGCACGCTATCACACCAACATCCACACCCAATACACCCCACCCACACCCACACACATTCACACCCCACACACACCCACATCCACTCACACTCACACCCACATGCCATCCACACTCACACTCACACCCACACACCCACACCAACACTCACACCAACACCCACACCCACACCCACACCCACACTCACACATCCACACTCACATTCACTCACACTCACACCCACACTCACACCCACACTCACACCTACACCCACATACCCACACAGACACCCACACACCCACACCCACACCCACACCCACACCCATACCCACTCACATCGACACATCCACCTACTACCCACACCCCCCATATAGGAACGATAATTTCTTGAACATGATACTAAAAAAGCAACTATTTATGTTTTTTTCTTTTTGTTTTATTCTTATGAATATAATTTATAAATAACATGCATCGTTAGAAAGACTACCTCATAGTGGTGGTGTAACGAAAAGCTATTTATTCATTACTTGATATCAACACTCAGTATGCTCTGCCATGAATTTAAGTAGCCGGTGGAGTGGAAGTTTGTTGAGCCCGTTTTTCTGCTTCCTGTTTAATCATTGCTTGTTGAATACTCACTGGAAATCCTGGATTAATATTTAATGCAAATGGCAATAATGTTTTTGGCGTATCAACAAAATCAACCATAATTTTGATGAACATTGTATCATCTCGAACATAAGTATTTCCTTCTTGTTGAATTGTTGACAAAGAGCAAAACTTTGGAATACCACTTGCAATATTCATTTCAGATCTTGGACGTTGAAAACTATTTGATTTGATGTCCGGTCGAAATGAATCAATAATATGTCGTTGTGCTGTAGTTTGATCGTATAAACAAAATGTTACCTTGTAATTGAAAGGAAATTTAAGAATGGCATCGTATTCACTTCGCATGAGCACAAAAAAGAGTGACATATGCGTACGACGAGCATTGCCATCGCCGTTTAAATAAAGGCGGCCTCTCATTTTATACCCAGTAGGTGATGAATAAAATGATGGTGAATAGATCGAGGTTTGTCGCTCGGATTGTGCATCAGCTAGAATATAAACGTTTTCATTAAGAGACCATTTCTAGAGGACGGCCAGGAGAAAATTGCATCGTTTAATCCTTTCGCTCCTGGTTGTCCAGAATAAAAAAGAATTTTTAACAAGAACCTGCTTGTTCAAATATACTATTTCTTTTTTTATATTAAAACCTCTTTTTCCCGTCCAAAAAATTGATTTTTCTAAAAGAACACCTTTTGTAATAAACATATAGCCATGACCTCTAAAATGTCTAGTTTGAAAATTCATAAGAATGACTTCTAATTTCAAAAGATTTCTTTAAAAATCATGATGGATTTCTACAACTCTCCAGCGCAAAGACCAATACCAAATTCTTAGGAAAAGCATATGCGCTATTGTAGTTACAACTCCTGATTGCAGCCTAACGTGTAGCTAGAATGTCATTCGATAAGACTGTAGATGAATTTTTAATTGGTACGTGATATAACCATATTCGATATTCCTGTCAGAAAGTTCTGGTAAATATTAGAAAAAAAAATGTTCGCGTGCTTTTCTTGACATTGATTTTTTCGTAAATTAACGAATTCTGAAAATATTTAGTTTCGATAGTGTTCCTTCTAATGAACTGCGGGTTTTTTTATTCGATCTTCAGTATCAAAGTAATAATAGGTTTTCTAGAAAATATTGTCTAAGATTTTTGAAATTTCAGAATTTTTAGAGCCCCACAAATGAAAAATACTTCAAGTTAAAAAAAGCCTGTCCCTCATCTGAAGCAATAAGGAGTTCTTTTTGAAACGGGAGAAGCATGAGCGCTATAGCTTGAAATGTATTGCAAAAATATGTGTGCGCGTAAAAGCTCTATTTTGCACTATGCCTTCTGAACGGTAATGTTAGGAGCTGTGAAATTTTTTTAAATAATGCACTTTCATTAGCGAAATTACTTCAGAAACTTTCATAGAGGTATTATGCACTGCTTCGAAAATCGATTTGCGAACGGAATAGGGATCATATAAGGAAACTGTCAGCTGTTAATTACCCTTTTCCGCATATTTATAGCCTGCGAACGGAATAAAGTTTTCAAAACAAACGGATTTCAGTTTGTGCATTCATCACTTTCTTACGATCTCGGCAAACCTTTTCTCATTTCGAAATAATAGTTAGATATAGAGAACGACTGACTGCTTGAGTCGTGACTAATTCATCGAGAAGAAGAAGAATTTTTCATAGTAACTAAGCGAGTGAACAGTAAAAAGCCTGCTATTGGACTTAGCTGTGTCAGCCTTCTTTCAGTCAAGGAAACTTGAGACACGAAAAAGTTTGTCCGCCAGGATTCTATTCTGGACGTTCAGCAATGTTTGACTCATCTTTCCATCCCTTCGCCTGAATATTCTCTATGGATAATCTTTTATGAGAATAAATCTTGTTAAAAAATTCTCACCCATTCTACTGTTAAAATTTGTTATTTTCCATAATAATGTACCATCATAAGAAACAAATTGTATATCGTCAAGTTTTTGTTTTGATGACGCAACATCTTGATTAAGAATATCCTGATTAGGTTTAAGTCCATCTAAATATGTGCTTTGTTCTTGAATACTTAATTTCAATATCGCAAATTCACGGATCAATGCATCAAAAGCATTATTTATATGAAGTGATTCATGACTCAATCGTTGTGTATCTTCATTCAATGTTGAAACTCCATCAGCGAGAATGTCAACTGTTTGACACACTTCCTGTAATTGCTTATTTACGTTATCGGATGACATCATAGTAGTATGATGAAGTGTATCAGCATCCATTGTCGAGCCTCTGCCATGTTGATCATTTATTGATTTTGATAAAATCTTACGTATAAAAGTGATTATTGAACTCTGATGTCGTTCAGTTTTATAATGTTCGACTATTTCAGCACGAACAACCTAGAAAACAAAACAATAATAAGGAAGAGATGAAAAAAAAAATCATTTTCATCAAAACTTATTTTTTATCACTTACAGATGTTGAACATCCATAATCTTTGAGAGCACAAGGTATAGTAATTTTATTACATTCATTTAACTTATGCAAATCAAGATCATTTGTTGAATTACATTTCTTCCCACAATATTCACATGATGGATTCGGATGTGATTGTTGAAGATGATCCTTAGAAAAAAATATATATAATAGTCATAAAATTATTGATAAATAATCAAATCTAAAAGCAATATTTTCCGAAACTATATCAATTGAATTTTTTTTAATGGTATCAATACATTGAAAAGTTACAATACTATTCGTTATTGTAAAATGTTCTTGCACTATGAATCTGTCAAAAAACGATGATCTTCTTGTAAATCATCATTCTAATATAATGCTTAAGGTTTTTCGAAGCCAAGAAAATTTATAATTTTCGTATAGATTTTTGAATCTATATAAATGTTTTTGACTTGATTGTATGATAAGTAATCACCTATATGCATGGGAATGAAAGAAGATTTGTAAACTACTAGATGATATTCGAGGTTCACTCAATTACACAATTCGGTGCAGAAACTACGAATGGGTGGGTGTGGGTGTGGGAGGTAAGCCTGAGGATGTGGGTGTGGGTGTGGCTATCAGGATGGGGGAAGAGAATACTCACACCCACACCCTTACCCTCATCCCACGCCCAGGTATTATCATCATTTTAATTATCTTGAAGGTAGAAAGAAATAGTTCACAAAAATTCAGCTTTGTAAGTGGTTTTCTATAAGAAAGTCTAATGGCCTGTTGAAGATTGGAAAAACGAATGATACAGATTCAATCATAAAATTTTATTCTATAGTTTGAACCAATATTTTCTAACTTTTCGTTTTCGAGATCCTTGCAACCGAAAATGATAGCTTCGAATGCTTATGTCTAGTTGGTAGTAAAAACTCGCAAAGGATCACATAAATGCGAAGCCAACCAACCTCAAATTTCGACCATAGGGTTTGAATTAACACAACAACGATAAACGATTTCATCTCGAGTCGATCTTGCTCATAGCAGATGGCGGTTTAGTTGGTTAGAGAGCAATCCGACACTTTTAATTACCTCGAGTCAATGGTGGAGATCAAATCGTCAAAATTACCGTTTTGTAAAACTTACTGAAGATGAATAAAAACTCATATTGAAGATTTAAAAACGTCTGGATCATCTCAAGACATTGATATGTCCGACAAAGTTCAAACGAGTTTTTAACGACTACTCGTTCTCTAGATTATCGTGATACAAATTAAAATTTTGATTATGGTGAAAAACACGTATAGTATGCAGGCTGAATGCGTAGACGAGCGACCAAAGAAATGCTCTGCTTCGCACCACATTAACTATAACAAATTCTGTGTAAAACTCTTTAATACCTGATCATTCTAAGGCAAATTGATCGATTATTTTACATAAATGAAGTTTAGTTTAATAAAAAAACCTTTCTTATTAACTGATACATCCAGACTTTAGAAAATAGAACTTTTGTTCATCAAGAGCATGAAATTATCGACGAGCTGCCTAATAAATCTAGCTATAATCCGTTGAAATATCATCGTTCAACGAACTTAGTGTAAGCTCTAATCAAATGAAAATTTCTGATCGATTCCTCGATGAAAATTATTAAATCTCTATCGATCGTAAAATGTTTTTATATAAATGCTAATATAAAATTTCGCAATTATTTGAATAATGGCAACACCTTTCTCTCCTCTTGAAACATAAACGAAATACATTTTTATTGACTTTTTTTAGTTTTAAACTTTAGTTAAGGCACAATCTATTACTCAAACTATTCTAAATATATTCAATATGCATCCCATAAAAACAGTTTAGCAACGTTCTGCTAATAGTTATCGTATATTCATTTCATTGTAAAAACAGGTATTATATTATGTTTCACAAATATAGATACAAGTCACTTGTTATACCTCATAGATTTTGAATTGACCTTTCCAATCACATAGCGAGCATTCGATAGTCAGTGATTGCATTTCATTCTTAAAACCGCGGTCAAACAGCACCTAAAACATAAAATATATTACCTGAATTAAAATAAATTTCATATTCTAACATCTTTCTTCTGCGTGTCTTCCTGACATTCTGGGCATTTTATTGTTTCCCTTGAAAATACAAAAGACAATTTAAATCATAAACATAACTTAAACTGATATTTTTACTCTTCTTTTGACTCAATACATGATTTACATTGACGATGACCGCATATAAGTTGAACAGGATTTCGTAACATCAGGCTACATATTCCACAGAAAAACGCTAAGTTGATAAAATCTTTATTTCTTGCATTGTAACCAACCACCGGTTTGCAATACTATAACATAAATCTAGAGAAATTAAAACATAAAAGTCAACAAACTCTTGAACGTGTATTCGAGTCAGGCTTATTTTGATGGAGATTTTGTTCAGTTGAATCTGAAAATATACATACTCATTTAAAAACAGGTTATGAAATTTTTATATCAATTTAAAAAATGACTGAAGCAAAAAATAAAGTTCTTCTGAAATTTCAATTTCTCAATCAGTGTTTCTATAATAAAAATCTTAAACACGATGTACATTTACTCTTTGTTTATATGAGCAAAATGTACAATAAAGAAATGAAAAATAAAATAATTTTCATATCGTCTCAATAAGTATAGATATAATTTTTAAGATACTAGGTCACGATCTACCCATAGTTTAAAAATATTGTTCAAAATTGGGTGCGGGTCTGGGTGTGGGCGTGGATATGGATGTGGATATGTGGGTGTGGGTGTGGACGTGGATGTGTGTGGGTCTGGGTGTGTGGATGTCGGTGTGAGTGTGGATGTATGGGTGAGTGTTTATCTTTGCCTAATGGACACTCATATCCACACTAACACCCCACACCCTGTTGTTCTGAATGAAACCTACTACATACCAGGCAAAAATTCATATAATCATGTCTCTAGAATAGTCTCTTTCGGATTTCTTAAAGCGGACAACGTTTTTTTTATGAATGTTTCGACACTGTTTTATAGCACTTAAAAAGCGCTATACAACGATATGAAAACTAGCCTGGCGCGTGATAATATTAGGCGACGTTGGCGCACGATTTGAATGAACAATCTGGACAGCACTCGAAATGAACTTGTATCAGAGCTATGTGCTGCATGTAAGGCCATATCGAACAGTGTTTCTTCCATGATGTTTATATATTATTTTGAACCCGTTGAAAAGCGCTATGGATTTATATAAATACTAGTCTCGTCGGTCTTGGAATTGAAAAATAAAAGGAGCTAGTCATCCTTAATAGGAGATATAGTGTACGTACGACAGCCATTGGTTATTTCAATCCACCGAAACAAAGTGCAAACCAGAGTTGTAGGTCTTATCCTATCACGGATCTCTTTCGGACACCTTGAGTAACAGCTTGACATAACAGAAACCATATTTCTCTAGAGGTCGTTTTCATCAATTATCGATCCCACTTCTTTTTTCGAACTTCCGTTAGGTATGCAAGTATCCATTGAGCAACATTCCTAGGCCTCTTGTTGTTGGATTATTCCAAGCACAACATTCTAGAGCTGTGTTCAATAGAACTTGATTAATTACTAGATTAGAATGAGCAGAACTGTTTCGAGCAATACGAACGTAAGTAAAGTTAGTAGTCGATTCGAGTATCTCCAGCGGCGATTCGTCCAGGATGTGTTACAGGTGTTCTCATTCTTATATCAAGTAGATTTTGACATGCTCTATCGAACGCTGCTATCCGATTCACGATAGCTTGAATCATACTCTCACAATTTGAAAAATACTGCCTTTTCACCCGAAACCATAGAGAACACGGGGAGTAATTCCAGCAGTGTTTCCCAAAGATGCGTTCCAATTGTTCCCATTCGTTTCATATAGATTTTGGCAAGCACTATCGAATTCTGCAATCCAATTCACGAAAACGTGAACCATACTCTCACAAAGTAAAAAGAATGATATTTTTTCACCATCGACCATAGAGGACACGAAGGATAATTCCAGAAGAGATTCGCGCAGGATGCGTCCTGTGCGTTCTCATTCTTTGGTACAGTAGAGTTTGGCGTGCTCTATGGACTCTTTGAAACGATGCAAATCAGACTGTGACCCTTCCTCATGTGACTCGCGTTCGTTTTCAAAATATCTGAAGTAAAGAACATTCTTTTGGCATCCAACCCTTCCATTAAAAGAATTGCCATGTTGATTATCAATATAAATGCATGAGCTTGAATAAAATTCCATTTTTCAAATCTGTTCAGCGCTTCTTTTAGATGCCAAATAGATACTTTGATATGACATTTGTGCGTAGGATCTTCATAACACGCTGCGTCACATTAGACAATCCGTAACTTGAAAATTGCTTCATCTTACTATATTTGATGATTCAAGTTTTAACGCACGCTTTACCAATAGAACGCCTCACTGTTTATGCTAATTGGTTGAGAATGTTTCTTCTGTTTGTAAAAAAAAAGTACTAACATGGGAATATTCTCAGGTATGTTGGAACGCTTTTTGTCGGCGTTTCGCGCGTCTTGTAGCCCTTAGTGAGCTGTGTCTATGGTAAAAAAGTTCGGGTTTCTAACGTGTTCCTGACGAGATATGGAGTTTTTAGTTGATTTTCTCTACAGCATCCCACTTTTGTAGCAAAGTTATAGTTTTGATTTTTGATTTGAAATTTTGTCCACATAAGAGCCTCAGCTAGACTAGCTTGCATAAAAAATTTCAGAAGTTTTGGACAAAGTCTCTCCGAGATATAGAACTATCACGGTACACAGACCCTTTTTCATAGATAGTATATACAGGCTAGTCTAGTTGAGGCCTTTATGTGGACAAAGTTTCAGGTCAAAATTCAAAACTATAGCTTTGCTACAAAATGTGGGGTGCTATAGAGATAATTCATTAAAAAGACTTGATATCTCGTCAGGAACACACCAGAAACCCGAAATATTTTCACCATAGACACAGCTCACTAAGGGCTACAAGATGCGCGAAACATCGACTGAAAAACGTTCCAACACCTGGAAATGTTCCTTTGTAAGCTACATCTATCGAAGTTTTACCCATAGTGGGCTAAATTTGAATGTATTGACGTGCTCAGTAAACCTCATATGTCAATTTCTAGTCGTTTGTGTAGCTTCAGTTATATATCAGAAAAAGGAGATCCTTTTTAGTCATAATACATATCTAATACTAACGTTTTGTTAGTATTCAAGTTCTATGTTTTATTAGGAACGAAAATAGTCAAGTATATTATCATAATCACTTTCTTAATCGTATTTCGTATCTATTCTGTTAACATAGATTAATTTTTACTAAGCAACTTTTTGTGTAGTACTTCAATTTTCGAAATTATCCAACGTGTATATTTTACGCAAAATTGGTTACAAGACTCATGAAAATTGCGGTTCCACTAGAGTTTATTAACAACACAGATATGGTGGTGGAGATAGGTATTGATCAGCGGGCGCATCCAAAGTTTATCAACAACAATAACTATACAATATGATAAGTTAGCTAATACTTCATGGTGTTTCAATTTTATTACCAAGAATTAGTGCATGGTAACAAATTAGATGTAAAGTACCTTCAACAAAATGATTGTAAGAAAACAATCAACAAATCCCGTTCCTAGTAAAACATAGAGCTCAAAAAATAACAGATCATCAGCA